AAAGAAAGAAAGATAATAAACGTGCAGTCGGTGACTTGTCGTTCGTTGTTGGCAGTTCGGCGGCTGTCGTGGCAGATGGTGGCGCCGTCGTGCCGTGACGACCGGGCAGCTGGAGGTCGTGGGCGGGTTTTAGTATAGGAAAGTTTTCTATTCTCGGACTGATGGCTCATTTCATTTCGCTATGGAGATCGACGGGAGATTGGTATCATCTCAGACTGATGGTTCATTTCATTTCGCTACGGAGATCGACAGGTAACCAATATCCAATCTCATTGTTCATTTCTGTAGCCGGCTGCGCGCAGGTCCGGCCTGAGGTGGGGGTCTCTTTATGTTGCCCGTTCCAGCGATGCGCCAAGCCTCGTGGCTGCGCCCCCACGCCCGGCGGGGTATCAGTGTGAGTATGCCCGCACACTAGCACTGCCTTTAATGCATCTGACCAGTTTTACCGCCAGATCCCAAAATAAGTCAAAAAATTGAGGAAGGATGCCGAATAGGTGAAGAAGTCTCAGTGTGAGTATGCCCTTACGCCCATCGTCCCTGTGGGGCCTGCCGCTGAACTCTACGCTCCGTCGCTGTTGAAGGCTCCTCGCTTTGAGCGGAGGAGGAGCCTTCAAGCACGGTGGACCGCGCACCACCGTACACTGGGACATGTCTGGTAGAACCTGACCGTTATTAGGATCCAATTCAACCTGATAACTCCCCCGTGTGCGTGTGAGCCTTCCCTGAGACTTGGGCGTCCCTGAATATAACTCACCGTGAATTAGAACGAGGTTCGGCCCGTCTACTTGTAGAATGAGGGCCTACAGTAGCACTCCTCACCACCTGTGCAGATCTTTTTTTTTTTTTTTTTTTTTTTTTTTTTCCCCTTTTTGGGTCAGATAGGCTTTCGAAAAAAAAAAAAAAAAAAAAAAAGATAGCCTTTGGCGGCCAACTGTTCGTAACAAGTCATGGGGAGGCCCCCCTCTCACATAGGGAAAGGATGTGAGACACCACTGATCATTTGATATGACCAAGAAGGATCTAGGTGTGCAGAATTAGAAATCGTCTTCCCCTGGAACATGGAAAGATCCTGCGGCAGGCGAGACATTCCATGTCCACGGAGAAGAGCACCAGTGCGTCTTTGCTGACTGCGCCATAGTTTTCTCTTTACTTTTATCTTCAACACTCACGTGCAGTGCCTCGCCAGATCACTTGCAAATTGGGCGAAACGCAAAAGATATGGTGGCATATCTTTCCATTTGGCAAGATATGGCGGCGTATCTTTCCATTTGGTGAACGTTTTTCAGCGCAGGTCCACGGATTTTGTTTTTGAAAAAACTGCGCCTGTGACTGCTGCACAGTTCAGAATTCGCAGAAATAACAGTCCGCTTCAAGATCGGGCCGTGAGCAGTTCGAAACGGCAAGAAAAACAGTAAACTATGCGTTCGACAGCCTACCGGTTCATAATTGGCAAAAAAGGGAGGTGGCCTGGGCGAGTGGTACCTCCCTTTATCCCGTGGCCTGGCCTGGGACCAGGTACCCGTAGCATGCCCTCCCCTTTCTTTTCCTCTTTTTTTGGCTTTTTTGGCTTCTGCCCGGACACAGTTCGGGCCGGTAGAGGTGCACTGCGGTTGTCACTGGAAACCCCACTCTGGGTGTGTGTGTGTGTGTGTGTGAGAGAGAGAGAGAGAGAGAGAGAGAGAGAGAGAGAGAGAGAGAGATTTCCAGCCATGCACGCAGAGAGATAGAGAGTGGCTACTTCCACCGCAAAATAGGAATGAATATTTCGCTAGAGCATGGAAATATACACTGCATTCCAGCAATGCGTGCAGAGAGATAGAGAGAGGCTACTTAGATGGATGGGATGAGAAAAATAGGAATGAATCTTGGACTAGAGCACGGAAATATACACTGCCGCTTTTTTTTTTTCGTTTGTGTGTGTGTGTGTGTGTGTGTGTGTGTGTGTGCGGGTGTGTGCGTG